GTCTATTTCGTCTTTTCCCATTATTGGGTTCGATGAAATCGCACCGAGGGGGACAAGTCTTAGTGAAGGAGTTCGATTAAAATGATCTCAATGTTGTTTGATCGTAATTTCTGGGCTGTTTTCAAAACCATGGAATAATTCTCGAACCTGCTGGTTGGTGGAGTCTTTTGTACGTAATCTGATTGTTGATTGCTTAAAATATGATGCATTTTATATTAAATAAAAAATTTTAATTATTAATAAATAAAATTAATTTTTATATTAATTTTATTTATATTTCAAATAAAAATAATTATTATATGATAAATGATCATAACTATTTAAATATAAATAAATTATTATTCATAAAAATCATAATTATATAAAAGATTATAATTATCTGAATAAAAGTTTATATCTGTTCATTTATTATAAATAAATTTTTTAATATAACTATTTTTATTACTTTTAATTGAAGAATTTGAGGTTTTATTGTATTTTAAAAACATAATTATCTTTTAAAAATGTGTTTTTCACATTTCAAAATCAAAATTCTTTTCTATCATTTCTCTTCTCTTTTTTTTTTAACAATTTAAAAGTAATTATGATAAATTTATATTTTGCATAAGAAAAATACAAGAAAAAAAATTGGCATAATTTAGAGATCAATATTAGAGAAAGTTCAAGGTATCAAAGGATTAATATTTCTATGGACAAAAATATTAATTTTTATAAAGATTTTAATTAGAAGTATGTATTTTATTTTTTGCATAATTAGTGGTAAAAAGATTAACTGAATAATATAAATACATTAACAATTTTATTTCATTAATGTGTAAAGTCAAAACAAAATATGTAAAATATTGATTACATTGCATAAGTTTATGCATATATTGAAATTGACTTCACAATTGTGTTTAATGAATTGTATTATATTTATTTGAAAAATTAATGCCTATAAAAATTAGGATGGGAAATAGCTTGAAAACATAAAAGAAAAAGATATGAATTAATTTTCAAGTAAAAGAATTATCACTTGTTATCGAGTAACGAATTAAATTAAATTTTAATAAAATGATCGATTGTTTAATTGTCATGTCTTTGTTATATATAGAATAGGCAAATTGTCTCGTAGTTTCTATGCAAATAATCAGAAATGGATAAAGTAATTTACTATGAGAAATTAGATATAAGTAAAGAATATATGCAGAAAAGAAGATTTACTTATAAGATTAATTTTATTATTAAATAATGGCACCAAAATGAAAAAATAAGTTGAGAGTCAAGCTATTTGTATAATTATATCTTTATTGGTCGTTTATAAATCAAATATTGATATATATATTTTAAAATTTATTGTTGGTTTAAATTTTGACTAGTATTTAATTTTCATGAAAATCAATTAAAATTAAATTGAAATATATGAATAATTATTATTAAGATATAGTGTTTCATGAATTAATTGGTGGATAATAAACTAAATAATGATTATTATCATAAATATGGATAGTGTGATATGTATTTTACCTACTGGGTATATTACACTAGAATTGATTTTACAAAATAAAATTTTATTGTGAACAATCACAAAGTGAAAACCATTAAAAGATATCAAAGAGTTAATCAATGGTTACAAAAAAGCATTGTTGCTTTTCGCATATAGGATATTGATTAAATGAAAAGGCATGCCATTAAAAAATATTGAAGCATTTGTCAGTTACTAGCATTTTGAAAGATGCTCATCAATATCTAATTAGGCATGTTTATAAATTAGAAAAGAAAATGCAAATTCAATATTCTAAAGGCACCAATACATACATGTGTTTAATTTCATTTTGTGATGGCATGAAGAACATTGGTATAATTTGCCATATATTATGAAAATGAACTGAATAAGATGAAATTTTCTTTCTTATACATATAAAAAAGATATGGACTATGGAAATAGAATACTATTATCCAATTAATACATTATTGGTTAAAGACAATGAAGGTATTTTTACTTTTTGTACTTGAAAAAATAGCCTTTTATAAGTTGTTAAAATGAAAAGTGAACAAGTTTTTGAAGTTTTCAATAGTTTCATAACAATGACAAGGATGTGGCTAGTTATATACCATATTATCATATGGGTTTAGATAATAATATTGATTTGTGAAAAGCTGTAAGCCTTAGAGTTAGTCAATCAATGATTTAACGAATGCAAATTCATCACGAATTTTTGCATGAAATATGAGTAGAACTCATATTATAATTATTTTTTATATTATTTTGTGAAAATGATTCTTTGGATTTATGTTTCATAACTTACATTGATATGGTGATCTAGATATGAACATATTGATCACAAAATGATTGTGAAAGTATTTGAAATTAGAGTTAAATATATTATAGACTCTTATTGTATATAGGCATATTGATCCTATAAGTAAAGTTTGAATTTATTATATATTCAAATATGCTTTGATCAATTAAAAGTGGTAAATAATAAAGATATATAGGTTACACAATGGTGGAGAAATAAAGTCCTCATAAAATTTTAAAATCAAGTTTAGAGGTTTCAATAATCATGAACTTGAAATTAGTCATTGAGTAATTATTGTATGTATTAAAAACTCATGATAACATTTGAGATAGTTGGTTTTCACTAAAAGTCATTATTATAAAATGAGATAACTTTAATAGTCAAATTTACATGATTTATAGGTATAAGGTGGATTATTATGGTTGACTTAGAATTGCCATAAGCCAAAATTGATGCCACAATTTTGATCACGTTGTGGTATTTTTTGTTATGTATATGATCTAATTTATGGATTGTATAAATGATTTATCATCTATAGTTTTATATAGTAAAAATTTCAAAGTATATTTACTTTAGAAGTAATGGGTGATTCAAAGATTTTATAAATTTGAAAACTTTTATAATAGTAAAATGAAAGCTATTTTATTCATTTAGGTGATGAAAATAGTTTTGTTCGTAATAATAAAAAATTATTAATAGTATCCATGATGAAATAGATTTATATAAATATTTATGAATTGACATACAAGTCTTAAAAGGAGACTATAGAAGCATGATTATATTTGAAATCTACTTATTGATGTAAACTTTTATATTGAGTTAAAATATAAAAGTTTTGAAACTTTTATTGAAATATTAAGATATCAGCTAATTATCTTTCACTAAAGGTGGATTTGGAGGCCTCCTACTTAAAAAAAAAAAAAAACCACTAAATAGTGAAAAGATAAATGAAATGGTAACTTGATTAAGTATATATGATATCTTGATAATTAAATGGGATATTCTTTAATAAACGAATGCATTCTTGGACATGGTCGGGTTGTAAAAATCAAAAGAAATAAAAATTATCACCATAGTATTGTAAAATTTTAGTATAATTTTGTGAGCAAATTATACAAGCTAATAAGTTTAAAGTAAAGTCATAAAAAAGTCCTTAAAAATCTTAAATGGACTAAAATCATTTGATTTATTCATTGAGTTTATTCAATTGTATTAAAAGTATAATTGTATTAAAAATGTATAAAAGTTTGAAAATAGAATGATTGAAATTAATAAATATAAAGTTGTGGTCACAACCAAAACTATTTCTTCAAATGATAAGAATGAGGTAACAATGTCTGGAGCATATAAATATATGCAAAATGAAAAGCTTGAACATATTAGCCTGAAATGATTATATTAAAGATTTAATCTTAAGTAGAGATAATTATCATAAAAGAAAATTGAATTCCAAAATATTTGGTTAGTGGTACTATAAGTATAATGGATTTAAAAATTTACTATTAGACACTAATAATGGGAACCCAACTTTGAATTAGTAGCCTCTAATTACAAAGTTTAATGGGTAAAAATAAGTTATTATTACGTGTTTATTAAACACTAGTAAAATCCATTCAAATTTTAAATACTAGTGTGATCTATTGCATGAGGATGATGAGTTTTTATACTTTTAATGGAGTTTTAAATGCTTAAAGCAATAGAAACATAATAAAAACTCTACTATATAAACATAAAAGTGGTGTTGCTTCAACAAGAATAATTGAGGTCTCTCTTATAAATGTTTATAAATAGAATAAGCAATGGTAATAATAATGCTAAAAATGGTTATAAACTTCTGACAGAAGAATAAATAAGTATTATGTGCGTTATATCTTCAATTCTAATACTATGAGTTGAGGTTTAAGCTATGGACACTATCAATTTCATTAGAATTCTAAGATATATACATTAATTGAAGGTTTAAATCGAGAGATACATTCTTGTATTTATAATATTTATTTGTGTAAAAGGTAAAAATTAAGTATCAACATTCCAAACTAGTAGAAGATTATTTATAATTTAGAATGCAGTGTATCCCATATTGGATATAAAGATTTAATTATTGATGAATAAAATTAATTTTTGTATTAATTTTATTCATATTTTAATTAATTATATTTGAATAGAAATAATTATCATATGACAAATGATCATAATTATTTTAATATAAATAGATTATTATTCATAAAAGTAATGATTATACATAAAGTCATAACCATCTGAATAAAAATTTAATATATTTATTCATTATAAATAACTCTTTCAGTACAACTATTTTTATTACTTTTGATTAAAGAATTTAAAATTTTGTTGTATCTTAAAAACATAATTACTTTTAAAAAAATATTATTTACGCCTTAAAGTCAAAATTTTTTTTATTATTTTTCTTCTCTTATTTATTTTTTCTAACACAGACACCATGTCACGGAGAAAGACTTTGAAACCTAGCAGAAGATTGCCTCCGCATGAAAATTCCAACCTACAGGGCAAAGTTCCATTCGTCTTAGGATTTTACCAGTGGTCCAGCGGCTGAAGGCAGTTATTCACTAATACTTGCTTTCTCATTGATTACAGACCAATGATATCCAGAGGATTCCTGAAATAATTGTCAAGTATATATATTTTTCATTCCTCAGTCAATAGCGTGTCTGAACATTTTAGCTTTGGAAGCAATAATGGTTTTGTATTGGAATAAACTGGGCCGCAGAATCCGGGGTTATCGACAAGGAGAGCATGAAGCATCAGACAACAATCCACTTTGGAACAAAATAAAGTGAAACTCAAACATAATGGAATGACATAAGTCACCCCCGAAATTTTCGCTGAATGAAGTGACAACAGGCCACCATCACCTTTAGCACCACCAATCACAGCTAATGCCCTGATTCCCCAATCAAGCAAACGAATTTTACAAACATATAGATACGTGTATCCATACATGGGTATTTATGTATATCTCCATATAACTTGGTGACACCCTCGGCCAATTTTACAACTGGTCCTCCAACTAAGAGGACAGTAAATTTGCACCAACCAAGGGTTTCGTGAAGAATACTGCTCCCTACTGATTACCATACTCAAGGCAACATTATCTAGAGAGAAAAGCAGCATTGATGAGTTTAAGAAAGCTGCTAAACGCTTAGATTACTCCATATTCAAGTCTAATAAGAGCTGATGTATCAATAATATGCAAATATCCCCTATGAACAAAGTTCAAACCATTACTCATTTCTATTTCTGCCCCCCAAAATAAAATATCAACTCAAAAAGTTCATAAGAAAAACGCAGGAAAGCTTCTACATATATGACTGGAGACACGTGGAGTGGTACACTCCCATTTACATGAGCTTTGCCCTTGAAAAATCCATCTCAGGATGCTGCAACAAACCAACAAAAAGATTGAACAAATTTCATCATCTAAAGCACCATATAGGGAATAATTGAAAAGAGAGGAGGAGAGGACAGCAACATATAAATGTGTGCGTGTGTGTGTGAATTGCGTGTGAAGTTTCTGAAATGAATAGTTACCTCGGACATGAATTTCTTTAGAATTTCCTGCTTCTGAAGCTCATCACTGGTTGGAAGGCCCATGGCTTTCTGTCTCTGGTCAAACTGCAGAGAAGCAGAAGTTGACAAGTACCAATTATGGTGAATCCAAAGTTTACAAAAAAGAGAAGGCTATAATGTAAATATAAAAGGCTAACGCAAAAGAGAACAGAAATATCTCTTACAGAACAGTAAGTACAAATTTAGATTTAAAAGAAAAACAAAAAACTAGGCAATAAGAAAAAACCTAGGCAATTTGACATGATCTGAGATGAGAGCTCGTGGCAGATAGAAACTAGCCAGAAGCAAAATACAATGAGAAAGGCAGAACTAATTACCATCATCTTCTCCACAGTTTGACGTGTTTCCGGATCTAAGTCAGATAGTTTGCTGTTCTCTGGTTCAACTTTCTGAGTGTCAATTTCAGGATCTCCTTTTACCAATGATTTCCACCATTCCATTTGGTTGTGCTTTGTCAAAAGGATTGAGACTGAACGATTATCCTCTACAAGACGGGTGGGAAGATTTTTATATTACCGATAAAAGTGAATGTTTGTAAAATCAAATAAAGTGTTAGTTCATTTCCACAAAAGTAGACTTAAATGGTATTTCGAAAACACAATAGCACCAGCATGACATAAACAATCTTAATTAAATTGTCTTCTATATTATAAATTCACTAAATCAAGTACCAACGTCTGTTGGTCCGAGTAGCATGGAGCTCGATTCCCCTTAAGCAAGATCTTGATTTCAAGTTTTGTGAATAGAGAAAACAGGCTTGAAAGAGCTTGTCCCCTTATAGGGTCCGCCTTGGCTCAACTCCAGATTAATCGGGACCCAAAGTGGCTACCGGACACCAAAGGGTCCCAAACCAAAAAAAAAAAAAATGATCAACAATACAAAGATCCTACATTAAAGATCAAGAAACAAAAGATACGAGGTGAAATTTACATATAACAAAACAGAAATGCAATATGAAATTTAACAAAAAAACATAAACTTCTTCTCTCAAAAAAAGAAAACAGATTCAAAAGCTTTGATGCGTAAGGTTCAAGTAATTTACATAGAATGACAGAAAATAAATCTAGGAGAGAAGATAAGAACCAATTCCATAAAAACTACAAAATGGATTTCAGATATGACTAATAAAAGTTCATCTTTATGACAGTTATGCAAATTCTGTGCATAAAGAAGGTGTATTAATCCTAACACTTTTAATTTATTGTAAGGCTTAAATCTTTTATTAATTCGCAGCTCTAAATTAAAATTTTAAAACATTGCACACCCAATATTGTCGATATACTTGCAATAACCTAATAATTGCAGTAGTTGTCTCTCATTTTCTGTGAGATAACATACCGATGCTCCAGTAACAATCATCAGGTTTGACAGTTTGGAAAAGCTCCCCCTGAAAATAAAAAGAAATATGTTACTTCGATGAAAAGTTGTAAATCAACTAGGAAGTATATAAAAGCATATGCACTAACTTACATCAATAACAGGAGGCTGCCCCTTGAGTCCAGCTTTTAGATGGTTCTTCTTTATCTCACACACAACAGACCTTGATCTTGTTCCACTGGGAACTGGAACATTAACAGTGACCTCTTGCAGGGTCTGTGTCCAAGAGTATTTCTCCAGATCAAGACCATTGCCTTTATTTGGAACTGTCCAATAATTTAGAAAAATGAAAATTAATGACAGTAATAAGCTAGTCTTTGAGTTTTACTTTCACATGCATCTAACAGTATCAAATTCAAAATCTCCCATGCAAACACTTAATCGTATGTTAACCCCAACTGGCATGCAACTACAAACCCTCCACCCCACTAAACAATAAATGACAAAAAAGACACCCACACAACAAAATGTATAGAAGTCCCTTTTTTACCAGCATTCAAACACAGTGTATATCTGGTCATAGCCAACTAATGAAATTAACATACACAACCATTTCCGATAAAATCATACCATATACACCTACCAATAGCCCCAACTGTCAGAAAGCAAATGTAAATAGGCTAACATGTTTACCAAAAGACGAAGGAGAGAGGGAAAACCATGCAATTCAACATATAAGAAATAATTTGGACAACCATTGTAGCTCTAGAACCATCTAAAACATCCAAGACTAGATAAATTTATAGAAAGTTCAACATTAGTCCAGTGAGTGATTGAACTAGGAATAAAATCTGCTCCTCACCCTGTTAATTTCAAAACATTGTTTTCAATTACAATCTTTTACTACCAGATTTCGAAAAGTTGTCAAAAAGTTTGAGGTGAATGCCGAGCTCAGGGGCAAGGAAATCAAACCCAACTTACACCAATGCTTACACCAAAATCCAAAGTATATAGGCACAATAGAATTCCACTCCACAAATTTCCATATGTTCCCTAGAGAAGCAGTTAAAAACCCTTCACACCACGGAATACTATTAACATTATTTAACAAATGAAGCATACCACCATGACACAAGTAGTGACAAAGGACGACCAACATTACATCATTAGGGGTGTAATGAACTGAGTCAAACCCATAATCAGAAAGTATTTAACCCAATTCTTGAAGCTTGCTCGAGCTTGTTAATATAGGGTTTTCCTTTCCAAATACAAAATACAAGAGCCCCTGGTTGAGGACAGAAAAAGAATGTTGCTTTTCTTCACTTCATTCCTCACAAACACAAGCAAGCCAAGCTATAAACACATATTAAAACCCTAAAGAGCCCAAAAAAACACAACCTTTCTGCTTTAAATCCATATTTTAAACCTCCCCGGATATTTATATCTTCTTTAACATATGCCATCAGCACATATTAAAACCCTAAAGAGCCCAAAAAAACACAACCTTTCTGCTTTAAATCCATATTTTAAACCTCCCCCGATATTTATATCTTCTTTAACATATGCCATCAGCAAATATTCAGCAAATATTCAGCAAATATTCAGCAAACATTCAGCAATGAAGACCTCAGATGATTTTACTTCTAAAAGAAAGCCTCAATTTCCCTTCTTTCCCCAAATTTCTCATCAATTAGCCTTGCATGCAAAAGAACAATAATAATAAGAAGAAAATTAAAAGAAATGAAGAAAAACGAACCTCTCAAGCCAGAGCTAGTCTCTTCGTCCTTCTTATCCTCCTTTCTATCGACCGCCATTTGCTCCTTCTTCACTTCTTTCTTGATCTCCTTCCCTTCCTTCTCCTTTACCTCCATCTTTGGAGCCACCTCTTCTTCCTTCTTCTTGCTCTTCTCCTTCGCAACTCTCACAATCGCCGCGATCTCCTTATCGACGTTCTCTTTCCCGAGAAAACCACTCTCTTTCGCCAGAAAATCGAAAACTTTCTCCAAAAACGCAACAGGGTTCGACGGATCCAAGCTCGCGTTAAACAACACCGGGTTAAGAGGCGGCGGTGAAGAAGTGGAGGGCTTTGCCTCCTGTTCCTGGAACTCGGAGATTATTGCCATGATTATAAATCCGAGTTTGGGTCAGGTGAGGTGCTTGGGAGTGTTATGTTTTTGGTCTGCTGCTGCTGGAGTTTCGTTAGGGTTTATTTATCCGGACGGTACAGGACAGCAAAGGAGTTCCAAGATTTCAACCGAGAGTTCCAGAACCTGTTTTTCCAATTTTCGTTTCGTATTTGCCAGAAGAACGTCCCTTTTTTTTAATTATTTTTTATCAAAAATATAATTAAAATAATTTAAATTAAAAAAAAATCAAGAATTTAAATAATAATATTTTTTTATTTTTAAAATTATCAAAATTTAAACACTAATAATTAAAATTACAATTATTTTCATTTTATCAATAGCCCGTATAATTACAACAACTTACATATTTTATTGTTTATATATATATTATATATATGTATATGTTTAAAATTTAAAATATAATAATAAATTCAAAAAATTATAAACAAAATTAACGTTTATTTCATTTATCTAATTTTTATTTTAAAAAATTTATTCAACTTTTTAAGTTTTATGAAGGTAAATTTTGCATACTTGCTTAGCAAGCTAGCATAGGGTTTTGGAATGAGAATTTTAAAATATTAGTACGTTTTTTTATGGGATTATTTTTAAATAAATCAGTTAAAAAATTAAGTTATTCATTTATATAAAGTTAAAGATTCATTTAAGTTTTGAGATAATTTAGATAAAAATTAAAATTTGTTAAATAAATTAAGATATAATTTTTAAATCGATTTAAATATTAGATTGAATCTTGAATAAAAAATTAAAATTCGAATCCAATTCAAATTGATTTGATCTAAATTATAATATATAAATTATTTATTTATATATATATATGTGAATTATATATGAATTTATTTATATATAAAAAAATAAAAATTATATATATTATTAAACTTAATTTTTATTTTTATATGATTTTTATTTTAAATTTTTACATATATAATTTTTATTTTAAAATTATACATATGAATTACATATTATCCTATTAAATTTAATTTAATCATATTTTTTTATTTTTTATTATATAAATTAAATTAAATAAGTGAGTTTGGGGTTTTTTTTAATTTGGATTAGATTTAAAAAATTTTAGAACTTGAAATTTCAAATAGGGTCGAATCTAGTGATGGCAATGGGTAGGGTTGATGCGGGTTTTTGCTCGCTTCAAACCCGACCCGATCTGATAAATTTTTTATTATTTTTATACTCGAACTAATCGATCTGACATTGTATAAAATTATACTCGATTCGAAATTAATAAAATATTATTTTTAATATAAATATCAATTTATATATATATAAATATATATAAAAATAAATATAAAATTAAAAAATAATTTTTATATATATCGGGTCGGATTTGTCTAAAACCTGACCCGACCACGAAATTTTCTTTATGCCACTCAATCCGATCCGACCTAATACTTAATTTTTTTTTTTAAATCAACCCCCAAGATCGGATCTAGTCGAAACCTATCGATTTCGAATTTTTTTGTCTTCTCTTGTCGAATCAAATTTGGATAAATATATAAATTATTAATATTAAATATAAACTCGATCCAAATTCGATTCGATCTGACTCATTAACATCTCTACTTCTAAATTAAAAATATTAAATGATTGATATTTTTCTTTGAACATTAGTAATATTTATAATTTTTTTCATTTTAGAAAGAAATCCAAAAGAAAGTATCATATCTCCAAAGAAAAAGAATTTTTTTAATGCTACTAACAAATATGGGAAAAATTTTGGGTTATATAATTAAAAAAAATTAATTGTCACAAATATATATATATATATATATATATATAAATTTGAATCGAAATTATTTTTTATGCCAAATAAATTTAATATTTAAATTTCAATATCTTTATTTTTTTTTTGATTTTCTGTAATATTTTAATACTTGAAAATTAATATTTTAACAAAGTTTTTCCGGGCACGGGCAGGCACTCCTTGCTGAGATTTCTTCGAATCATCGTATGAAGGCCTGCCATGAGTAGGAAAAGTAATATTCTTAGTTCTTACACATGAAATGAAATTAACCAATCTTTGATGCATTTTATTTCCATGTAATTGGGGCTGCAGAACTTCATCGCTTTATTCACTCAGACAATTGCGAACTCAAAGAAAAAACAAATTTTTTTGGCAGCCCATGTTCTCTCAGTTTCTCTCTCTTCAACAGTTTCAATTGTGAACACACTTGAATGTAATAAATATTATTCAATCTTCAGTGAAGAAGATGTTAGCAGGCACTGTTGTTTGCTACGACAGCGTCCCTGATGATTTTCAGAGATTCTTCAAAATCGTTGCAGAGCAGGTGAGCGTCAGGAATCACATTAGGGTCAACTGCTACAACAATGGTCATATTATCAATGTCGCTCTGAAAATGAATTGTCAAAGCATGTAACAGAAAAAAACAATGGAACAAAGGGTTTGATCATTTCAATTTTGAGAAGAAGAGTGCTCACTTTTAGAAGGTTTGGATTTCAAGGTGAAAATTGGCCACCTAATCTTGTAAATGCCTGGGAATGGCCATAAATAATGGGAGCAATGAAAGCTATGAGATGGCCATAAAAAATAATTTCTTCTAGGTGTCCAGCCACATTTGAAAACGCCATTGTAGTGTCCAAAGAAATTCTATATGCCACAGCAGCCAATTGCTGTAGGAGATTTCTTTATTACTTTTAATAACAGTAGAAGAGGATTATGCTTGAGAATATGGATGGGAAATTAGTTGATTTTTTTTTTACCTTAGATCCAAATAACTTAAGTATTTGTCTGTTAAATATATGCATAAAGCTAGAAGAGAGAGCTTTTTATGATCTGTTGTAGCTTTAGCGCCACGAAGGTAATATAAAGGATCATTTTGTATGCAAATGAATCCGATTTCATTGCCCCACTTCACCTTGGACTTCTCATCCATCATTTTAGACAAAGCCTGTCCATTCAAAGCATTAGAAGAAGCAAAATCAATGTAGAAATTAGATACATAGACACCGGAACTCTTAGATGCACATTCAACTACCTTTTTTTTTTTTTTTTAATTTGCTCTAGAGAAAAAGAGAAAAAAAAATCACTTGGATCCCAGTAGTTTGTCTAATATTCACCAAAACAGCTGGCCTTAGGCGGATGTTTTTAGGAAGTTGATTTGACTTCTGCTTCTCTCGTTTTGTCTCTATCAAATTCACCTTCCAAATAATAAAAATGAAAAAAAAAATAGATATAGCCAATGAGACGTAAAAAGATTATTATATTAACATTTCCACTTTTTTGAAATTAAAAAAAAAAAAAAACTCACCTTATTTTTTATTTAGATAGCGTCAGACACAGGCTTGTGTTATTCCCAGAAACACATGATTAACGTCTAGTTAAACAAGTGAAAAAAATTTGGGAAATTAAGGCTATGATCAACAAGAAAAAAAAAAAAAACTAAATACTTCTACTAATTGTTAAAGGAATAGTTTATTATCTCTTGAATTAGTTAATATGTTATTGGATTTTGCATTTGAAGATTATGGATTTGAGAAAATTTATGTATTTAATATCTTTTTTAATTAATTAGGATAAAAAATTTAAGGATAAAATAGAAATTTAAAAAAATTGCTACTTTTTTATTAAGTAGCAAGGTGTGGGAGGGAATTTAAGGGTAAATTAAAAATTCTTAGTGTAGATTTATAGCTAGTAACTAAACATGGGATATACAGCTTATAATAATTTTTTATTCGAAAATCAAAGAAGTAAATGAAAAATGAAGAGAAACCAAGACTATACTTAACCGGTTGATATTATTTGTTTATTTATTTTATTTTTTTTAATAAAAAACTAAAAATAAATAAAAAGATAAAGAATTTACGATCTGGTTCAGGGATTCAATCACATAAATCAAGCTTGTATAAAACAAGAAACTAAATCACGAGAAATGATATTGATGATTGAACTATTTTTTGGGAAAAAAATCAAGAGGAGATTTAATCTGTATTTGACATCCAATCTTTGTTATTGAATAAGAAATTCCTAAGATTTTTGGTAAAAAATTCTATAAATTGTGCCTAATACCATACAGAAACGTATAAAGAGAATTGAGAAATTTGATAAAAAGATCATAGCATTTTTTTGGTGTGAAAGATTTTTGGGTTTTAAGTACTATTATGGGATTTTTATTTTTGAACCATATTTGATCTTGAAATTTTGATTAGGTTTTTGGGTTGAGTGTTTCAATGGTATTGGATTTCTGACTAAGTGATTTTTTTGGATTTCTCGGAGATTTTTGGAAATTTTTTTCTTGGTTTTTTTTTTGGAAAGTTGCTTGAATTTTTCAGTTGAAGCTTGAAGTTTACGAGGATTAGAATCTAAAAGTCCCATCATTTTCTAGGTTTTTCATCGTTTTCTGGAAATTGGCTTGAAGTTCCCAGTGTTCCTAGAGAAAAATTAGAGAGAGAACATTTTAGAGAGAGAGGGAGTTGGGTATCTCTGAAGAGCAACAAAAGAATTTGGGCTTTTATATCAAACTGACCCTTGAACTACGTGACTTGGTGACCTACGCATCACCCATGTACAGAACCGACTCGATTGTAGAAATTTGTTTTTCTTTTTCCATTCTATTTTCTATTTTGATTATTTATTTATTTATTACTTATTTTATTTTAGATTATTATTATTATTATTATTGTTTTACTCATTATTTTTAATTGAACAATTTATTTTTTTAGATACCTTTATGAAGTTTATTTTCTTTATTTATTCATTAAAAAAAACAAAAAAATATTTCCAAAATAAATTCATGAATTCTACCAAACTATTGGAGTATTTTTTATAGATTTGATTTTTTATAAATTTTACCAAACTATTGGAGAATTTCATAAATCAATTTTTATAAAAGAAAAATATTTTGTTTTAATTTTACTAAACTATTGAAAGATTTGAATCTTAAATTACATCTTATTAAACAATAAGAAGGTTTAATGAATTTTTTAAAAATATGTTTATAATGAAATCTCACAAAATTATTGAAAGATTTACATCAAAGTAAATGTTACCAAATTATTGAAAAATTTTACTAATTATTTTTTTGAATAAAATATATTAATGAATCCGATGATGAAACCTCTTTAGAGTGGGATATTAATATCCATAAATGCTTTTAAGATGAAAAAATTATCTTAAATTGCTATCAAACTATTCGAGTAAATTCAGGATCA